CTCACGCCCCCGGGCGCGAGCACTTTGCCCTCTTTGAAGGGGCACCATTTCGCTGGGATGCCCCGCTCCAGCTGCCTGTTCCCATTGCAGCCAGTATTTGATCGAGGAAAGGATGAAGGTGGGTGGCGTCTTTAAGGAGCTAAGGTCACCCGCCGCGGACGGCTCTGTGGAGCTTCCTGCTTCCCCCGGCCTGCAGCCCCCAGCCCAGACGGCGGCGGAGAGCGGCTGCCGGGGCCGCGGGCTTGGACGCGAGGGAGGGGGTGCGGGTGTTGCTTCCTCTCCTCCAAGGGCGGCAGCTGGTTCGCTCCACCCGGGACACCTGGAGACGTGGCCTACTAAGAAAGGAGGGATTTCTAGGCAACGCGTCGGGACTTAGAGAGGGCGACCAGAAGAGTGGACAGGGCGGCTGGAGTCTTGGGAAGAAGTTCGTGGGCTCCGTGGGGTAAGGTGTCTTTCTCTTGCAGACAAGGACGTGGGGACCACAAATACCAGCTCAGCAGTGACGACGAGGAGGGGAACCAGAATGTCTTCTCGGGGTGGCACTCGGGACCAGGTGTTTACCGTCTCAGCACGCGGACGCTTAGAAACCCTCAACTCCTGGGACCAGCAAAACTAGAGGTTGGCGATGCCCAGCGTTTGCGGCCAACTCCTCTCCTCGCCTCTCTTCTTCGGCAGTTTCTTCTACTGCAACTCGTTCATCTTTTTCTCTCTGATTTCTTCTTTCCCCTCACTCCGCCTCGATACCTCTGGCCCACCGTTCTAGCTCTGCGCCCGGACCCTCCAGCCAGCCCCCTCCCGGAGCTCCGAGCCGCTTCGCCTTCCCAGGAAACTGATCCGGTCTGTCCGGCTCCTCTCGCCGCCGCCGCCATCTGCCCGCTAGGCTCCAGGCCTCCAGGAATCGCGGGCAAGAAGCGGCAGAAGAGGCGCTCGCCAGCGGCTTTGCGGAACCGGCATCGCGGGGAAGCCGGCTCTCCCGCGGCCGTCACCGCCAGCTCAGGTCCCCGAGCTCCACTCCGGACCAGCCCCTCCTCGCAGGGCCAGGGAGTGAGCTGCGAGGCGTAGGATGCTACTTTGTTATTTTTCCTCCCAAAGAGCGGTCTGCGGGGAAGGAGCGGGGAAGAAACTCCGGCATTAGCTGCGGGGTAAGTGTTCCCCAGGCTGCAGCGACCTGCATGCCCGAGGGCGAGCCCCAGCGCGCGGGGCCAGGACTACAGATGCGGGGGAGAGAGAACGAGACAGAGCGAGCGAGCGGGAGGAGGGGGACGGAGAAATACAGAGACGGTGGGAGAGCAAACGAGCTAGAGACTTTGAGAGCATAATTGTGCGACCGTCTAGTTACCTCTGCGCCGCGACATTGGCGTCCACCACGCCGACATTCCGGACCCAGGACCTGACCGAATCCATCTCGGCGCTCAGTGATTTCTCTTTCAGAGCTGGCCCTCTTCCTAAAGTATCTTGAATCCCAAACATTTAAAAAGTATGATCTGTCTCTTTAAAAATAAGAGTTACCACGCTGTCCTTACTGTTCCCAACGTTGCCACCAAACCGTTTCCTCCAAGGCAATCCAAAAAAAGGGACCAAGTACTGAAGTTTGAGTCTCTCTTGAAAAAAAAAAAAAAAGATAACCCGTCGTTTGCTTCACGCGTGAGGTGCGGATTGGTGCAGTTAAAGTTTGGGTTTTATCCTCCGCAAGTTCAGATCTGCCGCCTCGGGTCCTCGGTCCTAGGTCGCTCGCATCCTTCCCGCGGCAGCGCTGCCTGCAGAAAGTGATCACAATTTAGAAGCATCACCTGTTCTGGGAGAAACAGGAGGAGATTGATGACTGCCTAATCTCTCCCTTTCCTCCTGGTCCCCCACCCTCCCGGCTCCCCCCCACCGCTGCAATTTAGGAAAAAAAAAAATTCCCAACAGGATCAGTTGTAAAAAGAAGGGGAAGACCCGGAGCGGAGAGGAGGCGGTGGCTGCGAGCCCCTCGGAGCCGGGCTGCCGCCGCGCACGGGCCCCATGAATGGGTTACTACGGCCCGGGCCGCGGGAGGCGGAGCCGCGGCCCGATAAGGAGCCTCATTTGCATGGACGCTCGGGATTGGACAGCGCTTGGCAGGCCGGGCGACGTCCTCCGGCGGCGCGCGCCACGCTCGGAGGTGAAAGGGGACGGAAGCTGTGGACACTGCGTCCTTGGTGTGCGTGCGCCGTGGCGAGGTGGCCTGCGACGCGCCCACTCGGTCTGGGTGCGAGAGCGGGAGCCTCCGGGGTGCTGCCTCCAGATGCAGTTTTTTGTGTCCTGCCGGAAGGCATACGCATTCCCGGGGCTGGGATCTGTGGGCGTGTGTGTGAGGAAGCGGAGAGTGTGACCACATGTACTTAGGTTTTGTGCACACGTTCCCCAGAGCAACCCAGTTCCCTGAACGGCTCTCCCAAGTCTCCTGCAGTTACATGGTGACATTCAGATTTTGTGTGCGGTTTACAAGTTGAGAGAGAAGGGTGTGTGAATGAAAGCGTGGGGCGGGGGTGGAGTAGAGGAGTACGAACAAGGCTCAAGTGCTATTCAAATAAATAGTGTCGGGGAAAATGGTCACGGAGCTAAGGAAAATACCCCCGAGCGGGCGAGAGGTTGCCGACAGATCGTTGCAGGCTTAGTGCAAGAGCTGCCTGGCGTCCTCCCGACGCCCCCTCCGCCTCCGCACCCGGTTCCCGAAGCCCAGGGCCGGGAGGCGGCGGCAGCTCCGCCAACAGCTGAAACCTTAGACGGCTTTTTAACTGCACCGGGCAGCTCGCGGTGCCTATTAAAAATCCTCCTGGCCGGGTGTTATTTTCTTGCTTCCGCTTTTGTATTCTGATCTGTGCATAGATCTGCTGCTGAAACCTAGAACACTAGCGCGAAAACAGATTTGAAGACAATGAATGCAAATCTGTGCTCAAAGACCATCTGCCGTGGAGGAGACAAATCAGCTGTTCCTCAGTGCGAGCGGCTGCGCCCAGGCTCCCGGCCGCTCTACAGGGGGCTCTGCGAAGCCGGGGCTGCGTTCAGGGCTCTTCCCCCACTCGGGACTGCAACTTGAGCGTGAATTGACTTCGGACCAGATCCCTTAGGTGTAGGTGAGCGCTCACAAATGAACTGCGAGAGTTTGCCGCTAGAGGACACAACTCGTTTGCAACTCGTTTGCCTGGGCAGACGGGAAGCTCGCACTTTGGGAAATGCCGCTCTCCTGAGAAAGGGACCGGTCCGCGACGGCACTCCAGCCCAGGGCAGCCGGCGACCCCAGGCTTCGCCCGGGATTGCGCTCAGGAAGCGCAAGTCTCTCCTGCGGAGATTTACCTGAAAACTGAAGGGGTTGGAAGGGGTGCGCGGACCCCATCTGTACAAACTCTAGGACAAACGATTGGGGTGATTTTATTTAAGGGGGCGAGAATGTGAAACCCTAGCCTTTAGATAGTGCTGACCGTGACACCCCCACCCTAGCTTGGTCCTCCTGGCTTGGTCCTCCTGGTTAGGTAACAAGGGCAGGGGAGCAATAAAGGGCGACTGGGCACCAGAATAGGTATCACAGCTGCTGCACAAGCCCAGTGAGATGGCAGTTGAGCAAAGAGAGGAGGAGGACCGGAGCGAAATTTGTAGGGATGAAACTAACTACCCTTTTTCAACTCGGCAATTCTCTGTTACATGCAGGTTTTATGGATATTGTCGGTCCCTACAAAAACTCAGCACCGAGTCTTTTACCCTGAATCGCTCTCTTTATAAACCTCCGTGAAGCTCAAGTAATCACCCACCCCATCCTCGTCCGTGGACTGCGCTCAGTAGAGGTAATGCCTCGGATTCCTCGGCGGAAAGTGTGGAACAGCCCGTGGGCCCCTCAAAATGTGTTGAAGAGCTCCGCAATTTTTTTTTTCCTCTCTTGGCCAAGACAGGAACCGAGCGCAACCCTAGGGGCCACGGGGCAGGAGTGGGTCCGGGTCTGGTCCGAACCGTCTGCCCTTCAGGCCCGGGTTGGCTGGGGTTAAAGGGCACAGCCAGGGCTGAGCGCACCGGCTTTTCTCGCCCACAACAGCTGCCACCCAAATATGCCCCCCAGGGAGTGAATGAATTGGTCCTTTCTCAGGGCTCCCTGCTACCCTCCCCAAACTAGACGGCCGCGCTCGGGGGACGCCCCCACCCGCAGGTCCCAAAGACAAGTTTAGGGGCCAAAGGGCCACGCAGGGAGGTCGTTTTGGAAAACCAGGGCCCCAGAATATGGACCTGGGTAGGGGGGAGCCGCACCGCCCCTCGCCCGCTGTGCTAGAGGCGGCCGCGCAGGGCGCTAGGAGCGA